ATGTGCCAGTGTGTGACGGCATCTCACACGGATCTGCCCCTCAGAGCCTGTTGAGTGATGGGCCGCCCAGGTTTCCCCGATGGCCACACCCCTTTTCTGGCCACACCCCCTTTTCTGAGCCGCTGAGCATGTGGTGGCTCCACAGATTTGTTTTACTCCCCCCCCTCCACTCAAAAAGTGGCTACTGGGGCTTAGTTACTGGCAGTAAGCCCCCTAAGCTCCAATAGGCAGGTGGTTTGGGTGCTTTGGCCATGCGCCACTCTCTTTGCCTTTGGTGCCCCCACTGGGATATAGCTACGGAGAGCTTCTCCAAAATGCTGTGCACTTGCTTCAGGCCACCCGGACTGGAATGCAGCATTGTTGTTTAATCCAAATAAGTTACCCCTCTCTGCAGCCTGCTAAGAGAGGAGCTTCAAAAACATGGTTACAGTGAGTGCATCTGCCACAGATACTGCTTCATCTATTCTTGTAGGCCTTTTTCATTTATATTTTTTCCTGTCTACAAAGATAATCCAGATTCCTAATGGATAAGTAGCAGGATTAGCTGCTTATTAATGAATGATCTGGGTACAGGAAAAGGCTTCACGTCAGCCTTTGAGGAAATCAACCTTGTGCAAGGAGACTCTGAGCAAGGAACTGTCTACGAGGGGTCACAGAGACGCAGCATCCACAGGGATCGATCACACGCCCAGGGAAGGAGCACGCCAGCCGCTGGGCTGGGAGCAGAGCCAAGTTGCACAACCCAAGACAGGCCAAGCCAGGCTCCAGAGGAGGCAGCTCCTGAACAGACAGATCAGAAACAAGAACCACAGGCCAAGGCCAGGAAAAGGTCAGGCCCCTACAGCATCCATTGATAGGCAGCTGCACCAGCGGTAAACAGCCAGGCCTTTGTATTGAGTGTATCCCTGCGGCATGCACATTTTATTTGGGTATGTGTGGGTGTGAAAGAGAGATTACATGTGTGCACATGGGCCCAATACTGATTAACAGAGCAATTGCTCAACAAAATCTGTGAAATGACTGAATTTGGACAACGTGAAAAACCACGGTAGTTTTTTACCATGGTTGGTCTGTTGTGTTATCTAAACCCAGTCATGGTATTTCACCATAGTAAGTCTTGTCACTGGAAACCACTATTGTTTTCTGTATCACCATGGCTTGTCTTGCTTGTCATGGTTTCAACAGTCCTGGTGTGCAACTACCACAGAATACTCTGGAATAAGTGCCAACTGCAGGAGCCACTCCAGCCTCTGTGTGTGAACCAGTGAGGAAGAGGCAGGCAGCATGGACAGGGGGAGATGCACCTTGAAATTGATTTTCAGGCACAGTAGCTGATGGGATACGTACCAATAATGGGAGGACTGAGCAGAGAGGATGGAAACTACAATAACATAGAAACCACTTGGTTGTCTGTCAGGGACATCATGGTAAAAAAAGGGCAAACTGTGATAACCACATAGGATTGCTTGTTGCATTGTGCGAATCCAGCCAATGTCTCATTTTAACCATCTTGTCTTAGTTGCTTTCCTAGTCATTGTTGGACAGCATACACAAAATGATTCGCAAAAGGGTGAAAAGGATGATCTATTTGAAAAATGGGGGGAAATACGGGTGCTTTTTTTACCTTAATGTGTGTGTGGGGGGGAGTTTGGATATGTAAAGCCTTGATGGAATTAACATATTTTAAATGCTTTTAATAAGGCAGCATGATGATGGTATGATTTAGGCAATAAGACAGAGGCTAAATATTTCCAAAAAGAGGATTTTGAGAAGATGTGGGTGGCAGCTGCTGTAAGCTATGTGGTTCAGGTTTAAAAGCAGAGAGAAAATAGCCACAAACTGCTCATCCATATGTAGGTATAACCAGGAACGCTTAAGTAAACATCCCACTCTTTGTTTCCAGTTCTTGCCTGTCTGTGAAATGTCATGAACCAGGTTCCAAGAGATGCTGAATTTGCCATGAGTTTGAAAACAAAGTTAGAATGCCTTTCTCTCTTATTTTCCCCAGAATTCCCCATATTTTGAGCATCTCTAAATAAAACTGAAAGGACTTAACTTTCATGACCTGATCCACAGGCCTGTTCTGATCCACATGCAAGGCAGTCTCAGTGTGTACTCCCAACTGCACTCCCAACTAAGTTGTACCCAGAATTGTCACCCCCATTTTAATTCCAAAACTGCCGTGTTGATGGGGGAGTCTTTAGAACGGGGTGGGCACCATGTGATATTCCCAGTATTGCAGCCCACAACTCCAGCCATCTCTAGCCGATACAGCCAGTTTTTTGTGACGGTAGGCATAGGAGGGCAAAAGACTATCTGGAGGGGGTGGGGGGACAGTCATGTTGCTCAGCCCGGCTTTAGAACCAAGCCTTTATTTTCAGTGGAGACTAAAGGCCTGTCCCGCAGCTGAGTTAAGAAAGAGCACTGGGATGCAGTTCTTTGCTCATCATCACTCTGTGATCTCAAGAGAGCCATTCCAAACCGATGGAGCAAGGAGCATCAGAGACCGATGTGCATTAGCCGTGGAAATAGGACACGCAGGGACATGCTCCCTACATCTGCATCTGCCAGGGGCACGACAGCATATTTAACGAGGTACAGAAGCACCTACAGCCTCATACAGACCCGAAGGAACGTCTCCTTCCTTATATGCCCTCATGCCCTTTAAGATCTGTGGGAGAGGCCCTGCTCCGGGAGCCCTCCTTGAAGGAGGTCAAAAGGGCATCTACTTGGAGTAGAGCCTTCTCTGCGGTGGCGCCCAGACTATGGAATGTGCTCCCCAGAGAGGTTCGCCTAGCACCAAGCCTATATTCCTTTTGGTGCCAGGTTAAAACCTTTTTATTTAAACACCATTTTTAGAATTAGAGTTTTTAGATTTTTAAACTTAACAGTCACATTTTATCTTATTTTATTTTATTTATTATTTTAGTCATTGTTATTTACTTTTTCATGGTTGTGATTTATTCTCTTTTGTTTATTATTGGTTTCATGTTATTCTGATTAGTAATGATTGTATTTATTAAGATCTATTTATTGCTATTTATTATATTATGGATTCTATTTTTATTGTTTTGATTTTATACTCTGTAAGCCTTCTTGAGATGTTTGTGAAAAGATGGGATAAAAATGTTTTATTAAATGAAAATTAAAAATATGCACCACGCACCAAAGAGCATCAACACCAGCAGAATGCCTCATTCATCAGGACTGGCTGACAGTCATAAAGATGTGAGGTGCCTGCTCTAACAGGGGAGCTTTTGGCTGTGGGGAGGTATAAAAAAGAAATAAACAACAACATAAAAGCCTCATTCTCACCTCATTCAGCTGCCAGAGCGAGGAAGGTCTGTCAGGCGCTCTCACTGTGCTTTGAAAACGTCCTGGAGCTGCTGTCCCCCTCCAGTCCACTCTCTGTCCCACTAACCTTTGCATCAGCCTGGCCGATCCTTCACCCCATCCTTTTCCTCTGTCTGGGAGTGGTGAATCCCCTGCAGATTTGGTGGGCTCCAAAGACCCAGAAACAGACCAAACCTCATCCATAACCTAAGGAATTCTACTCAATGGCCATTGAAATGCATCACTTCCTTCTGACAATTTCTTCAGGTAATGCACCTGTATTTATTTATTTTTAATAAATAAACAATTTATTTATTTATTATGAATTTATTTATTCAAAGCTTTGTTATCCGTCCTTCACAATGTCTCATTTCTGAATGGCCTTTGCAGTGTATGAAACCAGTGGATCCAGATACTTATCCGAATTGGCCCTGAATCTGTAAACTGCTCTGTGTCAAACCATGACACTCCCGTTCTGCATCACCATAGAAATCCAATGGGGATCCCCTGCAGTGTGCAGGATTTCAGTCCTTCCCATGGGATTTCCATGGCCACTCAGAGGGTTATTTCCCAGAGATAACGAAATAGCAAAAAAGTAATTTTCTTAGTAGTTCCATCTATTGGTTTGTGTTTTCCAAATGAGTAGCTTGCAGAATCAGAGTCCATCCCGGTGCATTTCTGGAGTGGTCAGAGCACTGGGCTAAGACTGGAGAGCCCTGCTTTCAAATCCCCACTCAGTCATGAAATGCACTACTACATGGTCTTAGACCAGCCTTTGTTGCTCTAACCTACCTCCCAGGTTTGTTGTGAGGTTATAGCTGTATGTGACCCTCCAGGAATTAAATACTTGGGCTGGGCTTCTTGGAGGAAGGGTGAAATTAAAATGCAATAATAAAATTAACAATAACAATATCTTAATGGACAGTCTTACATCCAACCATGCTATCCTGGCCATGTCTACTCAGAAGCAAGGCTGATTAGGCTCAGTGAGACCCCCCACCACCCCCAGTAAGGGTCTATAGGATTGCAGCCTGAATCATTTTATGATTGGATGCTAAGTGGTATTTCGATGGTGGAAGAAGGACTGTGGATTGCAACTGCTGGGCCATCTCAGGATGATGATCCATTAGAATTAACATCAGCAGAGACTGCTGTTTCCAGTGACAGTGGGGTGGTGCATCCATGCCAGCTTTCAGTCTGAACTTGGAAGGCACTATCGCTGGTGCTGAATCGTATCCCCAGAGCAGGTTCGGCATCATGGAAAGCGCCTTTAAAGTTCAGGCTGAAATCCGGGGTGGATACACCGCCCCAGAGAAATCGGACCCACCACCCGCCGCTGATGCGCGTGCCAAAACGACTGGATTGTGGCGATGTGCCCCGGTTTGCTTGACTATCTCCACGGTTCCTTAGTCCCCTCTGCCCTCATGAGCGTGAACCCGAGCAGACCACCGCGGATGCACGGGCTTCTGCCACAGGAGCCCCCAAGCGCTCGCCAGCTTTGTCTTTCCCAGGTTCGGGGAGCGCTTCTTGCCGCGCTCGCCGCCGCGCACCTCCGGGCGTGGCCACTGAGGGGCGATGTTGAGCTCCGGCCGGCGGCAGCCCGGATGTAGCCTCTGCCGCCGCCGCCGCCGAGCGGTGCCTACTTGCCTGCCTCTGCCGCCTGTCTGCCAAGTGACACACCGCGGCGAGCAGGAACATGGCGCTCGGAGCGACGTAGCGGCGGAGGAGAGGCAATCCCGTCGACGAGCCGGCAGCCCTCGGTAAGGATGCTCTCGCACGGGGCGGGGGGCGGCGTGCGGACGGGATGCGTGGCCCGGCGCCGGACTCCTCGGCTGCACCCAGCGCCAGCGGCAGCATCCACAGCCCATCCCGATGAGGAGATGGGCCCGGGGGTGGGGTGGGGTGGGCGCACCCCGCTTGCCGGAGCCTTTGTCAGGCTCCCGGCGTGGCACGTCTCCGTGCGCGGCGCCGCCTGCTCCCGGGCTGCGCTTGGCGCGCCGAGCCCGGGCAGCATCGCCTGGGAGAGCGGGAGGAAGCCGCGGCGGGTGGGTGTGGATTGTGCCATGGCTGGTGCTGCGCGGAGGCAGAGCGAGCGAGGCAAGGGGCGACCGCCGCGCTTCCCAGCCGCCAGCCCTCGCTCTTCCCCGCGAGGTGCCTTTGGAGCGGGGCTGGAGCAGCGGCGCCGTCGTGTCCCGCTGTGTGGGGGCTCCTGGCCCGGGGGCCGAGAGGACGGGCACACGCGTGTCGTGCGGCCCAGCGCGTGTGCATTCGTGTGCACGCAGGGAGCCTTTCTGGAAGTAGACGCCGCTCACACGCGCGCTGCCCAGGCTGGGGTGCGCAGCCCAGAAGGCGCTGGGTTCAAACTGTGCCTCACAGGTAGATTGAGCCACATCGACAAGCCGCTGCGTGTGCAAACTCACAGATACCGGCACACATTGGAGGTGGGGGGCACTGAGGAACTGAAGGGGGCGACCCAGACCCAGAGCCCGGTGAGCCTGTTTTCTCAGGGATTAAAGACTGGGCGCGAAACTGGAAAAATCACAACTCTGCATGTGCTGTGCGGTAAGCCCAATGACCCCATGTCATTTTACATGTTGAGGAGGTAGGAAAACCAAAAGAAAAAACCCAGCGTCATCCCAGACCTCATGAAAGCATGCTCTGGTTTGAGACTCTGACAAGGAAAGTTGGCTCCTTGTGAATCACATGCTACTTACGCTACTTTGGTTTGATTCTTTAATGGTGGTGCATGGCTGAAAGAAAAAACAGGCTAAGCAATCTTCATCTTGATATGCATAAAATAAAATGAGCTAAACATGTATATAACAACATCTTGGGCTAAATAGATGGACCCAACCATGTAAAGATTGTGAATTTTCTTCAAATTTTCAACAGGGAATTAAGTGTTGTGTCTTCATTCTAGCGAGCTCAATATAACAGCTGAGTAGTGGACAGCATCAAGTAGCAGAAATTGTTGTACATCTGTGGCTCTACAGCACCATCCTGTACAGGTTTACCTAGAAGTAAACCTCAATGTATTCAGTAGGGCTTACTTTGAAGAAAGTGTAGGTTATTTTTCAGCCTTAAAAAAAGCAAAAAGCAAAAAACAAAAAAGCTGTGGTCCTTTTCATGCTTGAGATGCACACACACAGGTGTGTGTAAGTTGTCTTTGAAGCCAAAAAAAAAAAAAAATCACTTTTCTTTAGCAGTCAAATATTGCATAGAAGCACAGCCTAAGAATAGAACGGCACATTGAGAGAGTCACAATCTAGGCACGAGGCAGGAAATCTTGGAGATGTGCCAAAGAAATCAATAGAAGATAACATCAAGTCTTTTTGATTACTCTGATTTTTTGTAAAGGTCAAGCTTCCAAGCCACTTATTTTTCCCATTCTTTATATGAAAGCAAAGGAGCCCTTTTAGATGTTTCCTACTTCCTTTACCTTGCTCCTTGTAAGATCTATAAATGTGATGCTCTGGGATGAGATGTGATGGTACCCCCCTTCTAAAAAAATTCTAGGTTACTCCTGAATAATTTATCCCTGTCTGGTGTGGTTGAAGTGGTGGTGGGGAGACAACAACTACACTGCAGCTGACCTTGTTGTGGCATTAGGGGCATATACAAGACATTACACAGCAACGCAGATGAATGGCAAACGGAAATCATTTCTCCATTTTTACATTTGTATCCCAACTTTCAATAGCGAAGAAAGGGTATGATACTCCCCATAACCCTGAACATTTAAAGAAAGAGGAACATGGGGCAGGGGGTGGGGGGAGTCAAAATCCAGTATTTTTTTGGCAGTGGCCACTGCTGATGCCAGTCCTGCCCCACCTGCATCACTGTCCTGGTACCTGACTATATATTTGTATTGGCCTGCATGCTGGCCCCACAGCCAGGGAAGCCTGCCAGAACCCACTGCTACAGGAGGAAGGGCCCTGGCGGACGCTTTGCTCATGTCTTCCTTCAGCCCTGGCCAGATGGATGGATGCTCCTTCATAACTTCATACTCGGGCACATGGACGTAGTGGTCAGGGAGAAGGGTTCTGGCCAAAGTCTCCCCCTGACTTGCTAGTTTTCTATGTGCAGGCACTGTGTGAAATGGTAGAGGACAGACACATGCTACAGCCTTAGTGAAAACTAGACCATGGACACATGGCTAGAGTAGAAGATGCTAGTGCCATGAACACTGAAAGACACAATGCACTGAACCTTCTATAAGTTGATTCCGGATCCGTCTTTCTCTTCTGTGTTCCAGATGCCTTTTGTCATTATGTTGCCCAGGTCCTCTCTGTACCTGTGAAGGCAGGAAAGGCCATCCCCCTTCAAAGATGTGAGCTGAGATCCAGCTGGTGCCTACAGAGGTGCAGCTGTTGCTTCCTGGAAGTGGGTAGGAGGAAGAGGTATCTTTGACCAGCAAGCCAAGAAACCCGAGCCATCTCTTTCTATTGTTCTGTATAAAGTAGGGAGGGCAACCTGTGACCCTTCAGATGTGATGGCCTGTAGCTCCCATCAGCCTTTGCCAGCATAGCCAATGGAGACAGGAGGGCCACTGGTTGCCCAGCTCTGCTATAGTGGTTTCTTGCAAACACAGGGCCTCTATGCTGCCTTCAAAGCTCACTGAAAGATTTAGGTGAGAGGGTTTCAGGTGGTTTTGGCGATAGCAATTCCTGTGTGGAATGTATCGCTGCTGTTTAAGGTTCTGGGGCTAGGAATGATTCTTTCCTTCAGCTTCACCTCGCGTCTTCTCATTCTCAGGAAGGCTAACACTGGCCACTTCCTCTTCCAACTGGACTTGGGATTAGATCTCACATGGTCCCAGGAGCGGCCCTACCATTAAACAGAGTGAGGTGCTTGCCTCAGGCAGCAGCTGCTGGGAAGTGGCAAGAAGGTGTACTCTGCACCCCTCTACCAGGCTGCTGTCTTCCAGTGTGTTGGAGGATGCAGGCCCTTTGGCTGGGTTCATACAATACAATAACCTGTGCTTTGGGGTGGAGTGTGGGTTGTCGAAAAATGGGCTATCATTTTGTCTACCTAGCTGCACTAGCAAGCCATGTCTTGTCAACCACAAACCACCCATTAAGAGAACCATGGTTTGTTGTTGGGTTATGAACTGTGGGTTATTCACCAGGGTTTCTTATCTCACCTGGATTCAACTCATGTTACAGCAACAGCCCATGATTCATCAAGAACCCACACTCAGCTTTTAAGTACAGGTTCTCATGCTGTCTAACCCAGTCATTGTTAGTGCTGAAGAAAAAGCCTAGCCAGCTTTTATAAATGGGATAGGAGGGAACACCTCTTTGTTCTTTGCCTTAGCCCTGCATGGTCCCTCACTTTCTGCTCAGGGTGGTACCTCCTAATGGACTGGGTGGTGTGCTTTCCTGCCAAACAGTCACTTCAGGGGGGTTCTCCTCTCCCTTTCAGACCCCTTTATTAGGATTTCCTTGCCTTTGGCTTCTAGCTTGAAGGTAGAAGTGCCTTAACTGACTGTCCTCTCTTCACACAGGAGTTCTGCAGATTCATATCCGTGTGTGCATGTTTGAAGGAATGTACAAATATAAATTTCAAGGATCTGGCCATTCTTTATTCTTAAAAGTGTTCTTTCTTTGTTGTCGCCTGTCTTCCCCAAGCTCTATCTTGAGATGCTTCCACACAATGCACACTTTCAACCAACGGTGCTTCCAAATCATTCTTCCCCAACTTGGTGCATCCCAGAAGCTTTGGATGCCATCACGCCTGATTGTCAATCCTCAGTAATACTGGGAATTACAGTAAAAAAAAATATCTGGAGGGTCCCAGGTTCAAGAAGGCTGTTTGAGATGGAAAGTTCTCAGCACTACCTACTAAATGACATTGTGGAGCTTCCATCTCTCCCACTTTAAGAGGTTTTCTCTGATAAGAAAAAAAGCAATAATAGGAAAACTTGGGAGGAAAGCATTTCACCTGGATCTCCTGTAAAATTATGTGCACGTGTCAAGGTGATGGTGCGACAGTAGCCCTGTCTGGAAGCACCCTAAATCTAAGGTTAACTAGGATTGCAGTCCTGTCTTCAGTCTTACCTATGTACCTCTCATCCTAGATACCGATTATTAATTTTTTCACCAAATGTGAATTGGGTAGCCAGTATGTTAGCAGCCACACACAAGAGGGAGGAATCAGCAGCCAGAAGGTTTTCAGATTTTTTAAAATCTGAAAACACACAGGGGAGCCTATCCCTTCCCAAGCAACCTAATAAGGCCCTAGCATGGTTAATTGTCTGAGAATGTTGACTGAATGCTGGAGAAAAGAATGGAAAACTGGGAGAAGGGAGGGGGGAACGGCATGGCATGGCATGGAACAGAGTTCTTGGAAGAGGGCATGGCTGGCTGGCTGGAACTCTGAGCAGGAACATTGTATCTTGCCAATATTTTGTTGCAGGTCCCACTTTTATCTACACAATTTTGAAAACAGTTAACAGTGTACAGCCCGTTTCAAAATGGCAACCACGCCCAATAGGTTTCATGTACACAACTATTCATATCTTCTGAACTTCTATGCTCAGTTTCTATAGGATGATTGTCTTCTGGGAACATTTCCAACAGATTTGTTTCCTCCTTTCCCCTTCTCTGGTTGTCCTAAGCTTATTGCTAAAATATCTACAAATGTGAATTTCTGCTCTTGTTTTAAGAAACCGGTGCCTCCATGGTGTATTGATTTTTGAACCTCATCTTGCTTGCCAACTGTACCTATTTAACTAGGACAGATATTTAGCTGTCTGAAA